GCTTAAAAAATTCTTTGCTTGCAGTTGCCGACCTATAATTTTTAGACTGGGTAGGTAGGTAGGCATTTTTTTTTTTTTGTGGAAAAAAAAGTTTTCAGATTTTTGTTAGATAACATAAAATAGATTTTTTCATAGGCCTACTATACATGAATAAGCTCCACTCTTGGTATAAACTACTGATTGATAATGACAAAAAATGAAAATGAAACAGTTTATTTCAATATCCTGAAAAATTGGAAAAAATAATAATATTACAAAATGGCTAAAAAAAAGTTTGGGTCGGGTGTATTTTCAGTGGGTCAGTAGGCAACTGCAAACAAACAATATTTTATTTTAAGCCTAAAAGGAAGCATAAAACAATAGTTGAATTTGTTTTCCTCTATCAAAATATATCGTATCGAAAATAACCAAACTGAGACCATATTTACGATTCGTATCGAACCGTGAAGGAGGCATACCGTTTCACCCCTATGTTATATGGGTGAGTATACTTGAAAATGACATTCAAATCAATTTCACAGTTGGCTTAATCATGTTAATAGAAAAACAAGCAAATGTACCGTATATACTCGCATATAATTCGGTTCGCCTATAATTCAGATGTATTTTTTAAGCTGATATCAGAGGGATTGACCTTCTAAAATGCCAGTCTTTTTATAACTCGCCTATTATAATACAGTAAATATTAATACTTGAATGAACACAAGTTACTAGGAGTATATAGGTACATGAGGATTGTGCCATAATACTTCCTTCTTTTGATTGATATGGACGCGGTGAAAATATTCTGTTAAAGAAAGCTGCTAAAAAGCACTGATATTTTAATGTGGAAAATTCTTCTCATGAATTAAATGTGAAGAACAGAAGGAGAAACACAGAAGAAACACACGCAATGGAAATTGAAAGATGTATAACTATTGTAGGATTGTGTACAGATTATTAATAATTTAATTATGGATTTTTTTTTTTTGCCTTGCAGAATAAAATTTAATCAATTATACAACTGAATTATTTTCAGCTGACCAAGTATATGGTGACCAAGAAATGCACACAGTTGTCAGAAAGAATTGTGTTGACTACATGGTATGTACAGATTCCTAGGTGTTGTAATAGTATAAAGGTCAAACCATTGTTAGGAAGCATTGTATTGAGTATGTATTTTATGTAATAAGAGTTATGTTGGTCGGTTTATTTATGGTTTTAGAGTCATCAATTTACATTTCTTTGCACTTAAAATAATTCATAAAGAAATCTATGTCTTAAATTAAACTACATTTTCTTTTTTATTCTCAGCTGAAAAACTGTGACTACTATTCCCAGTATGTTACGGAGGATTTTACCACGTACATAAATCGTAAAAAGATGGACAATTGCCATGGAAACCATGTGGAGATGCAGGCAATGAGCGAGATGTTTAATCGTCAGATAGAAGTATACCAATACAGTATAGGTCTGTATTTCAGAGAAAAAATGCTATATTATTGTTGGAATCTTTGAATTTTAGGGGAGACATAATTTGTAATTAAGAAGCCAGATTTTAGTAGTTTTGGCTGATTCTTACCAACAAACAATGATAATGGATTTCATGTTTTTATTTGGCCTCAGTTACTGTATTTTGCCGAGTTTGCTAATGGTGAACTTAAATGTCAGATGCACCCTTTTGAATTTAGATCATTCTCTGATTTGTAGATCCAATTAATACATTCAATTGTCCATATAAGACTGAAAATGAACCCATTAGAATCAGTTACCATGGAAATGTCCATTACAATTCAGTGGTGGATCCATTTAAGGCAACCATTGGTGTGGGACTTGGACTGCCCGGCCTTCAACCAGGGGTAAGGACTGAAAATCTAGGAGTTTGTACATTACAGACATTTTTACCAACAACAACAAATTACTTATTCCAAATCACAGGCTTAAAGATTGCTTTAACCTGACTGACAAACTTGTGTTATTAAAAAAAAGAAAAAATGATAATAGAAAATAAAACTTCTTGTAGACATGACAGAGAATACCAGATTTTGCCCATGAAGTACTGCTTGATGATTTACAATTGTACTTTCTGTTTGTTTTGACCTTTAAACTCTTTTTAGCTCACCTGAGCCAAAGGCTCAAGTGAGCTTTTCTGATCACAATTTGTCCGTTGTCTGTCGTCGTTGTCGTCGTCGTCGTTGTCGTCGGCGTCGTTGTTGTAAACTTTTCACATTTTCATCTTCTTCTGAAGAACCACTGGGCCAATTTCAACCAAACTTGCCACAAAGTATCCTTAGGTGAAGGGGATTCAGATTTGTTCAAATGAAGGGTCATGCCCTCTTTCAAGGGGAGATAATTAGGAATTAGTGAAAAATTAATGGTGTATTTTTAAAATCTTCTTCTCAAGAACCACTGTGCCAGGAAAGATGAAACTTATGGGGAAACATCCTTAGGTGTAGATACAAGTTTGTTCAAATCTTGACCCCCGGGGGTAGGGTGGGGCCAGAATGGCCGACAAAAGTTTTACATAGAAATATATAGGAAAATTCTTTAAAAATCTTCTCCTCAAGAATAGCAAAGCCATAATTGATCACATTTATATGGAAGCATCCTCAGGTAGTGTAGATTCAAATTTGTTCAAATCATGACCCCCAGGGGTAGGGCAGGGCCAAAATGCCCTGCCGACCAAAGTTTTTCATAGAAATATATAGGAAAATTCTTTAGAAATCTTCTTCTCAAGAATTGCAAAGTCATAATTGATCATATTTATATGGAAGCATCCTCATGTAGTGTAGATTCAAGTTTGTTCAAATCATGACCCCCAGGGGTAGGGCGGGGCCAAAATGGCCAACCAAATATTACATAGAAATATATAGGAAAATTCTTTAAAAATCTTCTTCTCAAGAATAGCAAAGCCATAATTGATCATATTTATATGGAAGCATCCTCAGGTAGTGTAGATTCAAGTTTGTTCAAATCATGACCCCCAGGGGTAGGGCGGAGCCAAAATGGCCGACCAAAGTTTTACATAGAAATGTATAGGAAAATTCTTTTAAATTCTTCTTCTCAAGAATAGCAAAGCCATGATTGGTCATGGAACTACTTTTGGATTTAAGCTTTTCAAGTATAAACCAATTCTGCTTTTTCCTAGCCACAGTGCTCAGGTGAGCGATGTGGCCCATGGGCCTCTTGTTCTAAACTGGATCATCATGGAAAACGCCTTATCCTATTTTAGTTTTAATTCTGTTTTGTTAATCAGCTGGCAGACAAGAGTCAGATGAGAGATGCTGTCAGACAGTCAGAGGACGTCCATATTGAGCAGGTAAATCAAAGCTTCAGGCCACAGACATATCATAGTACACATATTGTCAGTCTATGTTATCTTAAACTCAATGTCTCCGAGAAAGCACATTAAGATATCAGATCTGAGGCTTCAAGGTTAAACAGGGGTTCAAAATTCCTCAAGCCCGACGTCCCGGACTAACAAATTCCGGATCCGGACTCGGCATTTAGAATTCGCCAAAATCCTGGGACTTGGCTATGTTTCTTATTTATCTTTTTTTGTTAAAAAAATGATCGTAAAGCTAAAAATAAAGCAAATTCTCAAATGTATTAAATAAAAATGTGGGTTTATGGGCGTTAAAATAACCATAAAACATTACGAACGTTTCGAAAATTCAATCCCGTCTTTTTATTTTCCGTTGCAGTTAGACTCTTGCTTTTACGCAGTTCCTCATGTTTCCTCCTATATGACAAACGGCAATGAGTTTGTTAAATTTCAGTTTTACCAGCAGTAATAATTTCTATTTATTGTAACAGATGGTTTATTCAGTAGTAAGTATTTGTAAAAGTTATTGTAATGTACCAATAATCTATCAGTCTGGTATTGTGTTGAAATACTCGTGTATGACTACTGTATAGGGGGAAAATAACTCACGGTGTTAATATTCGCTATATTCACGGTGATAATAAATCCGTGAATTCAAGAAACAGTGAATAATTTTTCAATAATCTCCATGTTTTATTTGGAAATTTTAGAATAGACTACGATAGATTTAAATACATGTACCACAGTACATGGTCATTTCACATGTTTCAGTAATTACGAGTAGTACTCGTCATTCAATTATTTTAATTAGCACGCTTTACATTAATTCAAGTCAACAGATAATAACCTGTATTTGTTAAAAGGCCTTTTAATAGCAAACGCTACATGTTTCATCAATCAAAACACGTGGGCCATGAGTTTTGATTACCCGTGCGTAATTAATGTTAACACGCACGGTGTATGCATTACCTGCATTATCATGCATATTATAGTTTTATCGACATTTTGATTTCAAAAAAAACATTCAAATAACTATCGAACTTACTTAAGATTTGGAAGGATATTATTTCTTCGACCTACATGAACACATTTATTACTGTCCAGTGGTTTTTCGCCGCAATGTAAGATCTTGGGGTGTACATGCACTCATCGTAATACAAGTTATTTGACGTTTATAGTCAAGGACTTTTGATAACTGCACGTGTTTTGATTAATCGTTAATTATTTATTAAGTCTAACTTTTTTATATTAACCTAATGTGTTGTTCGTGAAATGAAATGAATGTCGTTTACATGTAACTATGGATTAAACGGATATAGACAAGGGAGGTAACTTCAATAACATAAGAATTCCGCGAATTCAAGAAACCGCGATCGTGTCCGATGAGAGAAAACCGTGAAAATTACAACCCGTGAAATTTATCCCCTATACAGTATATGACAGTTTGTGGAGGAAAAATAAAACATATATTAATACATATAGTCTTTATTCATTCAATGCAACAAATGAAAATAAATTATAAGTAACATAAATTTAATGATGTATAGGTAAGTATGGACTCTGAAATTTCTTACTCGGACTTGCCTAAAATTTACTCTTTAAGTCCTGGACTTGATCATGATAAAAAAAAATTTGAACCCCTGGTTAAAATTTAATAAAAAGTGGTGTGGACTCTCAACTCGCTTCAACATAATTAGGGCCCCGCAAGGATTTGCGGGTGCCCTATAGTAATCACTCTGTCTGTCCGTCTGTCTGTCTGTTCTTACGAGAGGTACATTGTGGGGTAAAATTAACGTATTTTCCAGCAGTGTGGGGTTTTTTGGGTACTGTGGGGTTAACCCCATAATGAAGAGGTCTAATTACGTTCAAAATTACTCTATGAGGTCGAAAAACCTAAAATTAGATTTAACCTCACAAAGACTTTGTCCAAATTTTGGACATGTCCTTAGCCCAAAACGCTCAGACATTCAGAAATCTGCTGTTTAGAGGAGTTCGGGAATTGAATCGAGGAGTTCCGAATACCTGAGCATGCGCATATATTTAAAACTAACTGCGCATGCGCAGAATACGGAAGTAGCTGTGTTTGGATTAGCAGTGAGGAAATTCGGAAACACAAAAAGCAAATGCAGTAAGTCTTACTATTTTGTTGCACCACATTGAAAAAAAGCTTTGTAAGTTGTTTGATATGATTCATACGTACATTATGCAGTTGTAGAATTTATTTAAAGTCAAGGAAAGGACACTTGTAGTCCACATAAACACATACCTATTGAAAACGGGCTTTTGTGAAAAAAATTATAATGAATGCACTGATAGTTCTTTTTTTAATCAGAGGTCTGCAATGAAAATCGACCGATACCCGGGGGTCGGGCTAGTGGTTTTCTGCAAGAGGGTCGCCCCGTTGGCCAGTAAAACAAGATAATATTATTTATACACGTGCAATACATGCAAAGCACACCTGGTACGTATTTTCACTCGTTTTTTGCAACAAAAATCCAAACCATTTAAATTTCCCATATAACATGCTCCAACTGTCAATAAATCTCCATAATTTAATCCGTGTTGGAGTACTACTTGGCTTATTTACTTCAAAAAACGATCGTGTTTTTTTCTTAATTCGAATTTTCTCTATATCTATGGTAATTACATGCAGATATCTCATAACATAAATACATGTGATTCTTCCGACGGGAGACAAAATCTCTGGATTTTTCACGCCTCTTCCGCCCCTTCCGATTAATTTTTAAATCATCCGTGTTTAAATTTTTTTCAAATTGAATATTTTTGGCTTTAATTTTATCCTGTTTCGTAGTATAATTGCTCTCTCTCTCTCTCTCTCTCTCTCTCTCTCTCTCTCTCTCTCTCTCTCAATTCATTCTAGATACGTACCAATTGTTTATCTACTCTTCACACATTTGTTTACATGTTCTTGTAATCGTACCTTAATCTATAGAGAAAAAATCAGAATGGAAAAATGGAATTATTGTCACTGCAATAAATTTTCGCATCAAGTAGGCTTCGTAGGAATCAACATGGGGTTGTATAATTAGGTTGTAAAATTTAGTGGTATATCAATTTGATAAATGACAATCAATGTTTATTATTTAAAATGAGTGTAGGACATTTTAATCAGTTGTTAAAATACCCAATATGTCACATTGCTTACACAGTCGCTTGTGTAATTATGTGCCGGATAAAAAAATTCACCTATTATAGAAATTAGACAAATTACCTTTAGATACGTATATATAACTCTCTTTGTGTTAATGGAAAAAATATAATTGTCCTGTAAGATCAATTTGTACTTATTTTTCAAGATCGACCATTGAAAATTTAAAAGAATTAAATCACAATTAATAGTTTTTCTATATCTAAACTTAAAGAAATTCAAGGTTAAAGCTTCGTTTTGTAATTTACAATATTAATTCATCGTTACTTTGAAAATTTACAGTGAGAGTATGTAACTTAGCTAATACAGGTCTATCAGTATTTTCACACCTGTTAGATTTTGATTCCGTGTAGAAGCTCTAATTGCAACTCTTGTCAAAACAAATGATTTGTATAGCATGATTATCTCGTGAATTTCACCATCAGGAGACGATCGATAGGGATTAGTTACGCTCTGCTGCACTTGACACCTGTGTTGTAGTAGAATGATTTTAAACTGCGTTAATACAAATCTTTGGTCAATTGAATAATTTTTTGTGTGTGTCTGTTTGTTAGATAGAAATTCCGACAGCTTTATAAAAATAATATTAAAAATTTACCAGACTTTAAAAACTTCAGCAAAGTAGTTGATCGAGGATTAATTGAAAGGGGGGGGGGGGGTTACACTGCTGATCATTACCTGAACATATTAAAGTGAAGTTTTTAAATAAATTTTATTGACACTTACTGAAATAAATTTTTATACTTTATTTAATTCACCATTAAACTGTCTTTTAATTAAAGCTTTTATATTTTTTATTGTTAAAAAAATAGATAGTAGTAAGGCACATGTATTTCTTCTTGAATGATTTGAATGTTACAAAAGAACACTCAGAGTTCCCGAAACTAGTCAAAAATATGTCGGACAATTGTCTTGTAAATATTTAAAATTGTAAAATTTACCGGACATTAATTTTTTGTATGTAAATTTAACATATTATAGGATTGGAAATTGTAACGATATAATAAATGATATGTGTAAATAAAAAGATGGCAGATTTAAAAAAAAAATTATTGAAATATTTTGTATAAGGCTTGTGTATGCAGGATTTGACGTCGCCGAAGGCGTGTGATGACCAACGCTTAATTCATCGTATAAATTTATTATGTCCTTTCTGACAGATTTTTAAAATGTTTTTAAAAATAAAATCTGCAACATGACAACTCTTGGTTGATTGTTTGGAAAATATGTTGTTTTCCAGGCTTATTTCTTTTGGATTTTTGTATTTTATGTGCCAGGAAAAATATTACGTAAAATATCAAACTCGTTTTAAAAAGCCTGGTAAAACGCCCGATATTTCTGACTAGTTAAAATTTATTATACAACCTCCACACAGTTAAAAATATGTATTAATGATATAAAGATATGCAAATTTATCATGAAAATGATGATTTTAAGTGAATTTGTTGTCGTTTTACTACATTCAAGTCAATCCGCTATTTTTAGAAAAGGGGAAAAACGCGCTTGTATTTTAAATGCTATCAAATACATTTAAAAAAGTCCAGAAGTTGGTATAATATTATCATGCTAATAGATTAAATTATAGAGAAAATAATAAATGGTAACAAATTGTCTGTAATCAAGCAGAAATAGCAGGCACTCTTGCAACCCTGCAAATTCGTCCTTCAAAACGAAAGTAGATTGTCACATTTTTTTTACTGTCAGAACTACAGAGTGCATATATTTATCAGGGAAAATATTTGTTGACAGTGTTTTTAAAACTGTTTTTCCTCCCAGACGTATGGAAATTATTATTTTAATATGTAGCTTTTTATAGTAGACAATCAACGTCTACATTTTATTTGAACAAGATCTGGCGATGCCCTGACGTTTTTTTTTTCATTCCTTTAGTTTTTCATTTGTTTATTGTCAGGACAATTGAATTAAATGATTTTGTTAAGATTATATGTAAAGGTTATACAGTCTGTAAAAAAAAAAAAAACCATCGGACATTTTGACCAATAAAATTAAGATTTTACCGGTCCCATTCAAAGTTCACCGGGGATCCCCGGTGGACCGGTGCGTTTCTGGAACTCTGAACACTTATGAACTGTTTTGTAGGAACAGAAAAATGCACAAAACCTTAAAAATTTAATTTGGAATTCTTTAATTTCATATTTTTTTTAAATAGGCATGGATTAATATATGTATACACACATACAAAGGTTTTGTGAAATTGACATGTTTAATTAAATCAACTGTAGTGGTTATTGCTGTTTATTTATTGACTGACTGGCTACCTCTTGGGCAAACTGGAATAAGAGGCCACCTGTGTTAAGTGGCTAGTTTCTGGACTTCCCAAAGCTTAAAACAAGTTTGACTGTACTTTTTCACCTTTTACCAATATAAGAAAGTAGTTCACAGTACATGACAACTATGCTTTAAATAAATTTCGATGAATTTTAATTTAATAGTAACTCGGAATTTTTGTATGTGATATAAATAAACATTTGCTTCTTTATTCCTTTGTAGAGTTCAGATACTGAAAGTGAACATAAGTGGAACTTTGATGATCTAGGCCGCTCTATTTTTGCAGCAACACCAGCAGGCGTCGGACATTCATAAAGTTGAAAGAACAAACCTATGACTTGAACACACAATTTGTGATCTGAATATAGTTCACAAATTTAAGGAAAGCAACTATCAAAGACATTCAGATTGATGGTTAGTACATGTTATAAGTGCCCATAAAATCAAGACAACAATATTATTTTACGATAAATTAAAACATAACCTGTCAGGGGCTGACAAATGGATTTTTAAGGCACTTGCCCAAAGGCAAGTACATGGTCAAAATTCACTTGCCCTACCTGAATTTTTTCCTGCCCTACCATTAAATTATACTGTTATTAAAAATTTATATATAAAAAATACTGAGTAGAACATTGGCATAGATATTGATTTTAGTTTTGATAATTGATTAAGTCACTTGCCCACGGGCAAGTGGTTGATAAAATTTCACTTGCCCAACCCTAAAATTCACTAGCCCCGGGCGTCAGGCAATGGGATTTGTCATCCCCTGCCTGTAAAAAAAAATTGAACATTATCATTTAGAAATATATTTTACTGTATTTTTTTTTGACAGGTATACATGAAGTATGAATGAAAGACTTTTCAGAAGAACAAGCACAATCCGGATTCATTCTTGCCATTGTCTTCTCCAGACGGCGACATTTAGGACCTGACTTACTTTTCAGAAAAAGAAGATGAATCGATTTTTGATAGTTGATCTTAAAAAGATAACATTTTCAGGGGTCGTGGATTGAATGACATTTTCTTGATGGGCAACTTGTTTCAAGTATTTGGATGTCTATTCTCAAGTTACTGCAAACCTTAAATTAACTTCTTGATTATTAGTTAAATGTGAGACCGTTTCTTACTTGAAGTAATCATTTTTTGAATTGAGCTTTGTAATCTCTGATTACTTATGTTTATGAGTAGTGTTCAGCTTTAAGACAAAAGGATCTTTTATGAACACTGCATTCGTCATGGTGAATTTCTATACATTAAGAAACAGTCATAGTTTTCGTCTTTTTTAATTAGCGATCTCATTTTAAATGTGAGAAATAATTATGAAACTGAAATGTACATTCATGTTGTTTGATTTTTATTTTTTTGAAAATTGTTAATCAATTGCCTGTTGTTGTTTTTTTTTCATTTTATTTTAGGGGATGGGAGTGGGGGTGCAGCTGTAAGTTTGAGTATATTTTCCAAAAGGATGTACATCGTTATTTTTGTTTTAATATCAATTTTAAAATGCAAAATGATGAGATATTAGACTACACATTTTTTCTTAAAACTTCATTTAAATTAATATATTTTGTTTAAAATAAGTAGCAACAACATGCAAGTTTTACAGTTATTTGACAACTCACTATATACTTGTTTTTTACATTTATGAAGATTGTCTCAAATTTTGAGGGTTTTTTTCTGTGTTCTACATTTATTGACATGTTTCTTATCTGTGTTCATCTTGTCGAGTAACTGAAAAGTTTGATTAAATCTTTTTTTAAAAAATCAGGGTAATCTCCTTTATTTATTATTATTAATTTACAATGAAATTATGTATGCTTTTGATGCATAATGTACACTTCAAATTCATGCACCAGCAGATTCAAAGGAAAAATTCCCATTAGAAAAAACAGTTCAGATAAAGAGATTATCCAATTAAAAAATAGTTTGAAAAATATTTAAAATAAATTTTCAAGTATGTTATCAAAATAGGAAAAAGTATTATGAGTATAGTTTGGTATTTTTAATAGTAAAAAAAAAAAAGGATATGAGGTACTGGCAATTGTATCATCTCACTCAGGGTCTTTCCGTCAGAGTTCGGAAAAACAACCTCGAATGTATTAACATCACCTGATGTTAAAGGTTATGTTTTTCTTGTTTTTCAAATTTTCGATAGAGGAAGTAAGAAGTCCCTTTTATAGTAAGTTTTATGTAATATCATAGCATTGAATAAAATTAAACTCCATATTCCACAGATAAAACGTCTTCATGCATTTATTTCGAAGATCATGAAAAGGGGGGGTTGTTGCCATGGCGTCTAACTAATACATTCGAGGTCATTTGTCAGCTAGTCAGAAAGGCTCGAGAAGTTGCGATTGAACATAGTGGGGGTTTTTGTTCTTTTATTACCAGTCCCTGGTAGAGTTTTACATACTGGGGTTTTCAAACACTTAAATTCATATGGTTACTGGTATCTGTTACATGAGAATACATCCGGGTTGTTTGTTTAACACTCTGAGGTTACTAAGATGTCTAATATTTTCTATCAGAACATATTGTGGTTCTTGTCTAACACTTTGTGGGGTTAATGTTATCTTTTATCTATATAAGAACATAATGGGGTTGTTACACATTATGGGATTAGTGTTGTCTATTATCTTTATAAGAGTACTTAGTGGGGTTGTTGTCCTAACACTTTATGGGGTTAGTGTTGTCTATTATCTTTATGAGAGTACATAGTGGGGTTGCTGTCCAAACACTTTATGGGGTTAGTGTTGTCTTTTATCTTTATAACAGTACATAGTGGGATTGCTGACCAAACACTTTATGGGGTTAGTGTTGTCTATTATCTTTATGAAAGTACATAGTGGGGTTGCTGTCCAAACACTTTATGGGGTTTGTGTTGTCTATTATCTTTATGAAAGTACATAGTGGGGTTGCTGTCCAAACACTTTATGGGGTTAGCGTTGTCTATTATCTTTATGAGAGTACATAGTGGGGTTGTTGTCCAAACACTTTATGGGGTTAGTGTTGTCTTTTATCTTTATGAGTGTACATAGTGGGGTTGCTGTCCAAACACTTTATGGGGTTAGTGTTGTCTATTATCTTTATGATAGTACATAGTGGGGTTGCTGTCCAAACACTTTATGGGGTTAGTGTTGTCTATTATCTTTATGCGAGTACATAGTGGGGTTGTTGTCCAAACACATTATGGGGTTAGTGTTGTCTATTATCTTTATGATAGTACATAGTGGGGTTGCTGTCCAAACACTTTATGGGGTTAGTGTTGTCTATTATCTTTATGAGAGTACATAGTGGGGTTGCTGTCCAAACACTTTATGGGGTTAGTGTTGTCTATTATCTTTATGATAGTACATAGTGGGGTTGCTGTCCAAACACTTTATGGGGTTAGTGTTTTCTATTATCTTTATAAGAATACATAGTGGGGTTGTTGTCCAAACACTTAATGGGGTTAGTGTTGTCTATTATCTTTATAAGAGTACACACTGGGGTTGTTTGTCTTATAATCTATGGGGTTAGTGTTGTCTGTTATTTCTATATAGCATAGTGGGGTTGTTTGTTTAACACTCTCTGGAATATTCTTGTCTATCATCTTTATGTGAAAACATGATGGGTTAATTTACTTTGATGCAACAGTTATCCTCAAATAAAACATTTTTTTGCATTGTTACTGCTAGGTAGTAGTTGAAAAAAAGTTATTGCAATATCCGTTCTAAGTTCTTCAGATAAACAGTAACAATTTTAAGTACTTATAATTAGTTGCCCGTAAAGTTGACTTGATATTAAATAATTTATTTTTAACCCCACAAATATAGATCTTTAACCCCACAAATATAGATCTTTAACCCCACAAATATAGACCTTTAACCCCACAATATACCATTTGTTTGAATTCCTAATGAAACCTCTCAAGTCACCACTGTACTATTAATAACCCCACAAAGCAAAATTATAACCCCGCACCTTCCGTAAAATGCACAATGTACCTCTCAACTGTATAGCTGTCCGTCTGTCATTCTTCCGTCCACAAATTTTCTGTTTTTTTCTAATAACTTTTTTTATGGTTGCCTAATCAAGTTCAAATTTGGTATGGTAGTTCAGAAGCAGAAATACTTATTTTAATGCTAAGTTTAGTTCTCTATGTCTTCTGGTTTGGAGCTGGGGTGGTGGGGTAGATTCCTTAACTATGCATAAGAATGAATGGGCAAAGAGAGATAACTGCTGAGAATGTTACCATTGTAAACTGGGAAGGCTGTGCAATTTGTCCTTTGGGATTAATTAACCTTCCACATGAAGAAAATCCTAAGCATTATCTCTTATCTGTCGACCACATTAATAACTGCACCGCCTCTGTCTGCAAATGAACTTGAAGTTAAGGTCAATTTTGAATGATGTGTACATTCTCTGAAATATGGATTTTATACTTTATTTTGGTTAAAATAATGTACTCAATGATTTATGATAATTTTATTGAATTATAAAATCAAGATATATATTAAGATATCATTTTTTATTATTAATATTTTATTTTTTTTAATTATTTATTAATTTTTTTTTTTTTTTGTTGCCTTAATGCTGTTGATTTTAACAGGTAATCAGATAATAACCCCATTCTGTTAGAGCTAAAAAAAAGTTCTTATTGTAAATTTAGAAGAAAAGGATGAGAGAGCAGTACAATTAATCCCTTGGGATTAATTATCTAGCCTGCTGCAGAAAATTTAGAGGCCTCTCTTTATCTGTCACATGAAGATTAATGAACATCTTTGTCTGCAACTAATGTTTGTTTTGAAGTTGAGGTCAACCCTGGGTGATATTTGCTTTCACTGAAGGCTTGCATTTTATAAAACACCTGCTTAAATCTTTTTTAAATACACATTTAATTTAGTTTTTTTAATAAGACATGAGGTTTTCCCTGTTTTATGTAAATACAAGGTTACTATTTACAGGTTTTTGGACATTCAGGAATTATCTTGAAAATATAAAAATACAGTTGTTACTTATAATCTTCATATATTTTTTTTTAAAAATGTAATCAAGTAAAACTCTCATTCAATGAGTTGCACCCTTATATTTCTACCCCTCAGCGGGGCCCTTGCTAACTGGTCAGTTTTCTAGTTATTTATAGTCACTGTGTAAGAGATACTTAAAATTTCACCCGTACATGTATTCAGTTATGCAGTCAGAATGTAGAGTATAAAATATTTATTGGTGGATATATTTAGCTTTTAGATGTATTATGTAAACCTGTGCTTGTAAACAATTTTGACAGACGATGCTGGAGGATAAACTGAGAGAGACGGACTGGGAGGTCACCCAGGAGACGATAGAGGAACAAGTCGCCCGCGAGTCGTATCTACAGTGGCTCCGAGATAACGAAAACCAGGTCCGCAGAAAAAGCTCGGTAAGTAACGAATCTTACCTACAGTGGCTCAGAGAAAACGAAGTCCGCAGGAAAAGCTCAGTAAGTAATGAGTACCTACAATGGCTCAGAGATAACGAAAACCAAGTCCGCAAGAAAAGCTCAGTAAGTAACGAATTGTATCTACAGTGGCTCCGAGATAACGAAAACCAGGTCCGCAGAAATAGCTCGGTAAGTAACGAATCTTACCTACAGTGGCTCAGAGAAAACGAAGTCCGCAGGAAAAGCTCAGTAAGTAATGAGTACCTACAATGGCTCAGAGATAACGAAAACCAAGTCCGCAAGAAAAGCTCAGTAAGTAACGAATCGTTTCTACAGTGGCTCCGAGATAACGAAAACCAGGTCCGCAGAAAAAGCTCGGTAAGTAACGAATCTTACCTACAGTGGCTCAGAGAAAACGAAGTCCGCAGGAAAAGCTCAGTAAGTAATGAGTACCTACAATGGCTCAGAGATAATGAAAACCAAGTCCGCAAGAAAAGCTCAGTAAGTAACGAATCGTATCTACAGTGGCTCCGCGATAACGAAAACCAGGTCCGCAGAAAAAGCTCGGTAAGTAATGAATCTTACCTACAGTGGCTCAGAGAAAACGAAGTCCGCAGGAAAAGCTCAGTAAGTAATGAGTACCTACAATGGCTCAGAGATAACGAAAACCAAGTCCGCAAGAAAAGCTCAGTAAGTAATGAATCGTACCTACAGTGGCTCCGAGATAACGAAAACCAAGTCCGCTGGAAAAGATTGGTACTACGTAACAAATCATACCTAGTGTAACTTAATGGTAATGAATACCAAGTCTGTAGGAAAATCTCAAACCAAAATTTTCTCAGAGAAAATGAAAAACCATTTCTGCTGGAAAAACTCAGTCTGTAATCTTTCCTTAATATGAGAATTTTTTCTTGTAGCCTCGGTCAGC